GGTTGGTTCGGACGCCAAAAACCATAGCCGATAACCGAGAGCTGAACGCCGGTTTCTGAAACCCGAACGCTGGATGGCTTGGTTTTTGGTTTGGGCGAACACCAAGTGTTTTTAATGACTTAAACAAGTTTGAAAAACATTTTTATAATGTAAGAAATGCAGTAAAAGGTTTTAGCCTAAAGAGCCAATGCGTGAGGGTTGGTCGGTCTTGATTACAATTATGACCGACTCAACAATACTAAAGACTGCGGTCTTCGTTCTTGGTCTCTTTTAGCTCTTGTTCATTATCTTCGTTCCTCGCCTTGTATATTCAATGTTTGTCTTGATCACGGCGGTTTGGCATTATCAAAACCTATCATAAGAACAAACACGGCTTTAGTACGAAAAGGTGATAAACCCGTGTTTCAACAAATCTGCTAGCATTGACTTCATCCACAATAATTGCGCGCAACAGCTCCCAGCCGCTATGTATTCTGCTTCAGCAGTTGACAGAGACACTGAGTTTTGTTTCTTGCTCATCCATGCTACTAGATTTCCTCCAAGAAGAAAACACCCTCCTGAAGTACTTTTTCTGTCATCTATGTTTCCTGCTCAGTCAGCATCACTGTAGCCTGTGAGGTTTGCTGTACCACCTTTGACGTACCACAACCCCAGATTTTGCGTCCCTTTGATGTACTTCAGAATTCTTTTTACTGCCTTAAGATGTGATTCTTTTGGATTTGCCTGATATCTTGCACAGACTCCTACACTGTAGCATATATCTGGCCTGCTGGCTGTTAGGTACAGTAGACTTCCTATCATCCCTCTGTATTTGGTAGGATCCACATCTTTTCCTTCGTCATCTCTGCAAAGCTTTTCATGTGTTGGACAGGGTGTTCTAGCACTTTTACAATCACTCATGTCGAACTTCTTCAGCATGTTTTGAGCATACTTTGTTTGAGAAACAAATATTCCTTCAGCAGTTTGTTTGATTTGTAGTCCTAGGAAGAAGGTTACCTCTCCTATCATACTCATTTCGAATTCTGTCTCCATGACTTTGACAAACTGGTTGACCTGTGTTGTTGAAGTTGATCCAAACACAATATCATCAACATATATTTGAGCTATCAGGATGTCTGAGTCATACCTTTTGTAGAACATAGTGTTGTCTGCACCACCTCTGTTGTAACCTTCTCTTAGCAGATATGATGTGAGTCTCTCATACCATGCCCGAGGTGCTTGTTTTAGCCCATAGAGTGCCTTCCTTAGTTTGTATACATGTTCAGGATGTTTTTGATCAACAAAACCCTTGGGTTGAGCCACATACACTTCTTCTTTTAGGTACCCATTTAAGAAGGCTGTCTTTACGTCCATCTAGTATAGTTTCATATTGAGTATGCATGCTAGGCTGATGAGCATTCTGATGGACTCCAGTCGTGCTACTGGTGCAAATGTTTCTTCAAAATCTAATCCTTCTACTTGGGTGTAACCCTGTGCCACCAGTCTTGCCTTATTTCTTATGACATTTCCTTCTTCATCAGTTTTGTTCCTGTAGATCCACTTAGTACCTATTACATTCACCCTGTCTGGTTTTGGTACTAGTTCCCAAACTTTGTTCCTCTCAAACTGTTCTAGCTCCTCATGCATTGCATTTATCCACGCTTCATCAGTTAGCGCCTCCTTTATGTTTCTGGGTTCTGAAGTTGATGTGTAGTATGCCTTTGTCATCTCAAGAAAATTTATGGTCTTTTTCCTGGTCTTCATTCCTTCTGTTGGTGATCCGATGACATTTTTCAGAGGATGATTCTTTTGAATATGTGTGGGAACTGTAGTTGTCTCTGGTACTTGCTCCTCATTTTCAGTTGCATGTGTTTCTTCTGGCTGAGCTTCTTGATCTGATTCAACAGGTGTTATATCAGTTGCTAGAGCCTCTTCTGAATCATCCTGGTTCTTTCTCTCCATCCGATCATCAACAACCACATTTTCCATGACTGTCCTAGTTCGTTTGTTGTAGACTCGGTAAGCTTTACTGTTTGGAGAGTATCCAACAAAAATAGCTTCATCACTTTTGGGATCAAACTTTCCTTTTTGCTCTCGATCTCTTAGAACAAAGCACCAGGCTCCAAAAATATGGAAATGAGCAATGCTTGGTGTTCTTCCCTTCCACAGTTCATAGGGAGTTGACTTTGTCCCACTTCTCATGTACACTCTATTGATAGTGTAACATGCTGTGTGAACAGCTTCTGCCCACAGTTGCTTAGGCAGATCAAAAGTATTGATCATTGTTCGTGCCATCTCCTGAACATGCCTGTTTTTCCTTTCAGCTACTCCGTTTTGCTGTGGTGTCTTCGGTGCAGAGAACTCATGCCATATCCCATGTTGATCACAATAATCTTCAAAAGGCTTGTTTTCAAACTCACCTCCATGGTCACTCCGTATTCGAATAACTCCTTTTATCTTCAACTGTTTTTCATTCTGTACTTTGTTGCAAAGAGCTGCAAAGGCATCTAGTGCATCATTCTTGTGCTTCAAGAAACTCACCCAGGTGTATCTTGTGAAGTCATCCACCACCATAAGTACAAATCTCTTTCCTCCTATGCTTTCAGTCTTCATGGGACCGAATAGATCAAGATGAAGTAATTCCAGTGGTTGCTGAGTTGTTCTGAAGGTCTTCGTTAGATGACTTGAGTGAATCTGTTTACCAAGCTGGCATGGCTTGCACACCTCATCTTTAATCTTTGTGATTTTTGGTAAACCTCTCACAGCTCCTGAGTTAGACAGAGTTGCCAAGTCTTTGTAGTTGATGTGCCCTAGTCTATAATGCCACAATCTGGCATCTTTCTCATTAGCTGTGTAGCACAGGATGTTGGGTCTCACTCTATAACAGTTGTCTGTTGTTCTGTCGCCTTCTAGCACAACCAACTTGTTTTTGTCCTCTACTCTACATTTTTGTTGAGTAAAAGTCACCTCTAAACCTTGATCACATATCTGACTTATGCTTAAGAGATTTACTTGTAATCCCTTAACTAGCCATACATTCTTGATAGGTGGCAATCCAGTGACATTTAATGTTCCACATCCAATGATCTGTCCATGTGCCCCTCCTCCAAATCTGACACTGCCTCCCTCTATTTCCTGCATATTCTTCAAACTTTTGTTGTCTCCAGTCATGTGATGTGAGCATCCACTATCCAATAGCCATTGCTCTGGAGTCACTCGCATGCATGAGTTTGCATGTGATGCCACATTCTTTTGCACCCATATCTGCTTGACTCTAGGACTTCTTTGTCTTCCCCTCTTGATTCTACGGCACATCTTTCTAATGTGTCCCCACTCTTTGCATCGATAACATCTATAGTTTTCATAGGGAATTCTTAAGTTTGCATGATGCCTTCTATTGTTATGTGATGTACCAGTTGTCATTTGTGGAGCTTTGACTGGCAGACTGTCTATCCCCTTCCTGCGGTCACTTCGTTTGATGAAGAGATCTAATGGTGTTTTGGTTGATTCTTCTTTTGGATAACCCAGCCCAGTTCTGTCTCCATACATCTTGGAGATGTCCACTTGATGTTCAATGGCTTTTGCCTCTGTGCTCAGCATCCATTCTTGTGAACTTCCTGCTCCTGCTTTGTTTATCCACTTCTGGTACTTCATATGATGATCAAGTTCATGTCTCAGATTGGCATTTTCAGTTTCCTTTTGGCTCAGCTCATGTTGCAGCTTCTCAACAGTTTGCTCGCAGATCTGCAGTTTAGTTTTTAATAGAAGATTTTCAGACACATTCTTCTTATTAATATCAAGCAGATCACTCCATTTTTCTTGGAGTATCTTTAGCTGCTCTTCAGAGTCTTCTTGTACTTCCAATGTGACAAAGGCGCAGTTACTTTCTCCATCAGTGTCTTCAGTGTCTGGTTCTTCATCACTCCAAGTTGAGGCAAATGCCTGCCTTTTCTTTTTCATGTTGTTTGCACATTCTGTTTGAATGTGACCGAACCCACCACACTCAAAGCACTGTGGCCCTTTTCTCCTTGGTTCTGAAGATTGTGCCTTGAATTCCTTTTCTTTCATCATTTTGATTTGAGAACTTCTCTGAGGACCTTGTGTAAGTGCCTGTTTACCCTTTTTCTGAAGCCACCTTTTTGTAAACTGTTTGGTAAACAGTGAGAGTTGCTCCTGAAAGTCATCATCTGATATGACATCATCTTCTGAATCTAAATCACCCACCTGAAATGCTATTTGTTTCTCTGTCTTCTTCTTCTTTTGTTCTTCTGACATGGCCAATTCAATAGTTTCAAGATTTCCCATTAGTTGATCCAGCGTCATCCTCTTCAGATCATGTGCTTGACGTATGGCCTTGGCATCAACAGAGTAGCTTTCTAGCAGGGCGCGCAGTACCTTTAGGACAAGATTGTCTTCTTCAAAAGGTCTTCCAAGGCGTTCTGCTTCATTTGCTAAATCTCTCACTCTACCATGGAATTCAGTGATACTCTCCTTATCTTCCATTCTGAGATTTTCAAATTTTGTCATGAGAATTTGGTATTTTGCTGTCTTGACTCTCTCATCTCCTTCATGGGTTGTCTCAAGGATCTTCCAAGCCTTCTGGGCTTCAGTGCAATTTGCAATGAGTCTGTATTGAGAGCTGTCCACCGCTCCAAATAATGCATTTAAGGCTTTGTCATTGCATTCAGCAGCTGCAGCTTCCTCCTTTGAGTATTCCTCAAATGTTTTGGGAATTTTTGCATCTGATCCTTCAATTGTCTTTGTAGGAACCTGCCAGCCAGTTTCTACGCTTCTCCAGACTCTTCCACCTTGTGATTTCAAGAACGCCTTCATGCGCCCCTTCCAGAAATTGTAGTTTGGTCCTCTCAGCAGTGGTGGCCATTGTACATTCGCTCCTTCTTCCATGTCTCCCATGTCTGATCTTTAAAGCTAGTATCTTAAGCTTTAATGGCTCTGATACCAATTGAAAGTTCCACTTTCCTCAGCGTATGACCTGTAGTAACCTAGGACAGAACAAGTTGCCACAGAGGTTGCTGAAGCACTTTCTAATATTAGTCTGTAAAACAAAGTGCTTCACCAACTGCTGAATAAACAAACTGAAAACGAAAAGCAAACAGCACACAACACACGAAATTGTTTACGCAGTTCGGAGCAATTTCTCCTACGTCTGCGAGGCCCACGTCAGTGTAACAGCCTTCNAATAAACTCGGTTTATGCAGAGATACCAAGACTGAAACACTTGAACAACTTATCTGAGACGTGTTCCTGGCCTACGCTCCAGCTCTTCTCAGTTCAACTGTCTGGAACGCACGTTAATCTCTATGCAGAATATTATTCTGCATACCAGCCATCTGTGTTCTTCGATCTGCTTGGCTGATGAATTATTCAGGATTCTCTCTTAATATATCCTCTCTCTTGCTCTCTTAATTCACACAAAAACCAGGCAGTTCTCCCTTCTATTTATATTCGCAAGGTGAGATCAACCCTAGAAGAATCCTGATATATCTCTACCTCCAGTTTTGTGCTTATCGGGCAGAGTCCTTGTTATGATTTCCTTCTGATACCGTACTTATCTTCTTCAGTTTCGTGAGCTCCAGTAGCCTTTTGTTGATAGAGTTCTTCTTCAGCTAGGTGAGCCGCAGTCTGTCTTTAATTGAAGAAGTTCAGAAGTTCAAGGACTGTGTGTGTGACGGACAGGATGCTACAGCTCTATAAAACACATAGCTAGAACAAACTGAGTACTAAAACAACTATACTGGTTTTTGTCAAAAATAAAGCCAACACCTATGACAAAGAGGCTAAGACACACCCAAGGAACCAACAGGATAATCGGTCTTATAATCATTAGTGAATACACGGAATTGGGTGTGTATAATTCACAGTCGATTATCATCAATGGCGTCAATTATGGTTGATTTCTACTCCCTCCGTCCCGGAGTATTCGTCCAGTTTTGACTTTTGGAACTGTTCATCTAAACACTTTGACTCATCAAATTCTCTCAATGTGTAAGCCTAAATATAGTCATGTGTGATCTTGTTTGATTTGTCTTAACACATAGATTATTAATATATAATTTCTATAATTTTTTAATATATAAATTACAAGATAAAATGGATTAAAGAAGTGTATTGAATGGTGTGTAAAATTGAAAGTGGACAAATATTCTGGGACGGAAAGTGAAACTAACTGGAAACATTATGACAACACATACATGTAAATATGTGATTGATCGGGTCCCATATGTGCGGTCCTATTTGTTCAAGCATATCCTTGTGCACTATCAAGCATATCCTTTTATTCATTTGAATATTTACACGCAAATCGAACGCGGACGGTTTTTTCATTCCCATTCACAATCCTAACGCCGACACGAGTTTAAAAAGGAACTACGAGAAGGTTTCAAAGTAAAATTAGCAAGCTTATTAACCGAAAATTACTAACATGTGTGACCTAAGTTTTGTCAAAATAATATTTAAATTCCTTTATTCTCAAGAAAGTATAAGACATCCTCAAATTTAAATTTGTAAGAAATCACCATATATAGGAGTAAAATATAGAAAATTTAAAATACTAAAATAGAAGTTTCATATTTTTATTTTTTACGAGAGTTCCCACTGTGATAATATGGCGTTGTACATGAGCATTTTACTATAATTTTTGGTGATGTACATGGTCATGATTGCTAATGTAAAAGTATTTTAACTCTTATTTCGGGAATAAAAATATGAAACTTCGATTTTGGTATATTTCCAATGCTTTACTCTTACTTTAGTCTTTTTCTTATTTTTTGCAATGACATTCAATCCAATATTTAATCCATAGACGTTAATAAATGCACTTCTTTCTATTGTGCAATTAGAGTCTGTCTGGTTGGAGGGAAGGGGAGAGGAAGGGAAGTAAAGAGTTAGTAAAGCTTATTTTATTTAATTTTTTAATTATATACAATAAAGATTAATAAATCGACAAAAAAGTTAACAAACAAAAAGAACCTAAATAAAACAAAAAAATTAAGATGTATGGTTTGATTTTTTTTAATTAAATTGATTAAATATAAAATAACATAATTATAAACAAAAAAGATAAAAGATAAAGGAAAAAATAACAAAACAAATAAATAAAAGAAAAAAAGAAAACAAAAAAAAACAAAACAAAGAAAAAAAAGTAAGAAACGAGAAAAGGCGGAAAAGGAATAAACAATAAATAAAGATTTCAAAAAGGAACTAAAGAAAAAAACTGCAAACGGAAACAAACACTAAAAAAAATTTAAAAAGGAAAAAATATAAAAAAAGAGGACAGAATGAAGAAAATTAAAAGAAAAAGGTAAGAAATGATAAAAAGTGAGAATGAATAAAAAAATAAATAAAGAGTTAAAAAAGGATCAAAAGAAAAAAGAAGCAAATGAAAAGAGAGAAAAATAGTGAAAATAAAAAAGAAAAGAAAGAAAAAAACAAAAAATAAAAGAAAAGAGGGGAAAAACAAAGGAGAAAAAGAAAGGCGAGTGGGTTGAAAAAGAAAAGAATATAAATTATGGGGGTGTAAGGAGAAGAAAACTAAGAAATTGGGGTCAATGTAAAATAATAAAAAATTGGATTTTACAATTTGGCCCAAAGTGACATTTTGGTCGATCACTTGTTAATGGGCAAATGGACTATTAGTGAAAGGAGGGTAAAAGTGCGTGTATTTTTTGAAAGGTTTTGAGGTTCAAATACTAAATTGAAATTTTTGTGAAAGTTCAAGTGCCATTCTCGAAGTTTACCAGTTTCTGGATGACTCATGGTATAGGATTAGCGTGACGAATATGCATAGGCTAAGGATTACACAGCCCACATACGCAGCTCAACTCGTCTCAGAGACAATGTTAGAAAATGTCTTGAAAATGTATTCTAGACTTATCATGATTAGATTCTCATCTTTAATTTATATATGTAGTAGGATTAGGATTACTCGTATCCCCTTCCCTGTATATATAGCTTGTATATGTACTTCTCAATTCATGGTAGAGAGAATATGTAATTTGGTGGGAAGTACTGATCAATAAAAAATTTTCTCTTCTGTCCGTGGAGGTTACTAACTGGCTGTTAGTAGACCACGTTAAATCTCTGCCTTTTTCGTGATTGTTGATTGTTTGTGTTCATACTTTCTCGCGTTTTTCATTACAAATTGGTATTGGAGCTTGGTCCGGATTCCGGAACCGTGCGGAAAGAGATCAGTGGAAAGAGTCGTGCGGCTAAGAAATTATCTCTTCATGCAAGTTAATAATCTGGGCTTTAGGAGGAGCCATCTGGCAGTAGGTTAGTATCATTTGTTCCTTTTCAGGTTCAATGAAGAGTCATTTGGATTCAAGGTGGAGTTTGGATCTGTTGGAGTTTTAACTTAAATTACCTATCTCCATGCGTGACGGAAATCTATTTTGGTGTGTCACGACACTTCTGAACTCAAGTGAAACAATCTTTTCCTGTCTTTTAATGACATTTGTATCCTTGGTTGGACTTCTGGTACCTATGGTACATCTGGTCACTTCATGAAGAAAATCAAGTACATTTGCTATTTTTTCAGGGGATTTAAGTCAAGGTAAATATTTGTTAGAAAATGTCTTGACTCTGTATTCTAGACATATCAGGATTACCACTAGAAATAAGATTAGGGTTATCTTTCCTATTCTCATATTTATATGTGTATTAGGATTAGGATTAGGATTAGGATTACCTATATATATATATATATATATATATATATATACATATATACATATATACATATATACATATATATACATATATACATACATACATACATACATACATACATATATATATATATATATATATATATATATATATATATATATATATATATATATAGCTTGTATTTGTACTCTTCAATTCATGATAAAGAAAATCTGTAATCTGGCGGGTAAGTACTGATCAATAAAAAATTTTCTCTTCTTTTCGTGGAGTTCACTAACAGGCTGTTAGTGAACTACGTTAAATCTGTCTTTTTTTATTGTCGATTGTTCGTGTTCATCAATCGATTGTGAATTTATATATACACGGACAATAATCGATAGTAAATATATACGGAGTAAAATTTATAAATAATTATTGCCTATGTGTACAAATTGAGAGCTCATTAACACGGGTGATAGATTTCAAGTACGGAGTATTTTTGTAGGTAATATTGAAGTGGTTGGGAAAATGAAACTAAATGGAAACACTATGAGAACAGATGCATGTGGATACGTGATTGATCAGCCCCATGTGTGTGGTCAGTTTCGATTATTCGTCATCAAGCATATCCTTATGCACCATCAAGCATATCCTTTATTCATTTCAAGATTTACACGTAGAACGAACGCGGACGGTTTTTTCATTCCCATTCACAATCTTAACGCCGACACGACACACGAGTTTTTTTTGAAGGAGACACACGAGTTTAAAATGGATCAGAATAAAAAGCCGTTAGGTGTAAACAAAAAATTAGACCTGAATACAGACCCCGGATAAATTACTGAACCGAATGGGTCAGAATTGAATTCGAAATAACCTGAAAAACTAAAGAATCAAATTATGAGCGAATACTCAAAATGAACCAAACCGAAACTGAAACAAATTTATTCATACCCAATTCAGATTCGAATGTGATTAGAATCAAACCGATTAGATCTGAAATAGAATAGAATCGAACTGATTAAACCCAAAATACATAGACCCAAATTTAATTAAATTTAAAATAGATTAAAGTCAAATCCAATCAAATCTAATGGATCATTAATAATAAATTTATTAGATGACTTTTGAGAAAAGAATTATACTTTTTGCATATGTGGATGTCTTTTTAAAGAACATATTTAAAGAGTAAATTCCATAATTGGTCCTTTATAACATGGGGGTTTCCATATTTAGTCCTCTATTATC